GCATTCAATATTTTGTCACTTTGTAGACCTTTTTAAGGTCCATTCATGTTACAGTGTTTACATGGAATTTGTTGCTGCATAGTAATCCATAAAGTCTATGTCCCACATCGTACTCCCAGGGTAGACAATCAGTTACTTTACTATCAAGCAAAACTAAGGTTAAACACCCTCTACGTGTTCTCTTAGGTGAGAATTTCCCTGGGAATGGGATTGCTGGTCAGAGTTTGTCCTTGACTTAGGAATGACATTCGTTGATTTGACTGAGTATTGTCAGATAGGATAACAAATGGCTGGCCCAGGCTGCACTGCCACCAACTCTGCACAGGGTCCTTCCCCTACTAGTGCTCGTCTTTATCCAATTTTCTATTTCTTGCCAATCTGAGTAGAAATTATATTTTGTTATCATTTGCATTTCTCTGAGTTACTAATAAATTTGAGTATTAGTTAAAATGCTTGGTATTTATTTTCTTTCCTCTATAGGTTAATAACTCTATAGGTTAAGTGTGTACACATGAAATCATCATATTAGCCTATTTAAGATGTACATTTTGTATTCCACCTTAATATATTTTCCTTTAAACTGGAATATATCTGCATTAGCTAGATTTTAAATGATTTCTCAATTCAACCATGATTTTTACTTTTTGTTTTATTATTGAAACATGATAAATGAACAACTTTCATGAAAAGAATTACTATTTGACTGCTGGTGGGATTTTTATTAGGTCATATGGTTTAGGATGCTTTTCTATTTTTTGTATTAATCTTTACATTAGCATTGAGTTTTGGTAGCATTGATGCAAAAATCAATCACCTTTAAATTTGAAAATTTGGAAATGGTGATAGCAGTTTTTATGCCAGAAATGTGTGCGTCAGTTTTAGACTTTGTTTTGGCAGCTCTTACTTTAAAAACCTAAAATATGTTTTTGTAAACACTGTATTGAAGAACAGTTATCTAAGGGAGAGGGGATTTTTAAGTGGCATTGTTTTCAGACTTGAGTGTGATGAAATCCTTGATGTCAGTGTGCTTTCGCTGAAGACCACCAGGAACACACTTGTGGTAAGGAAGGTGACTTACTTCTTACACTGAGGGACCAATGTACCATGGAGACCCTGTGGTGTCTCATTACATATCCTGTAGTCGGAACTGGACTTTGGTTGGGTGAGTTCGGAGAAGTTATAAGGAATGAGGGGTGTCCTTTAGACTTGATGCTGCGACCATTTTATGACTGGATAAATAAATCATTTCTAGCAAGCGAGGGATGTTTGATATTTTGTGGATTGTTATACAGTGACCCTTTTCTCTTTTCATTCAATAAAATTATGAAGTAGTCTTGTTTTTTCGTATTTATCGTGGTCTCAGTAATCTGGCCTCAAGCTGGTGTTCTACCAGATTTGGTATGTTTCTCCCTCCCTCCACCCCAACCTGTTCCCTTCTTCTCCTCTTCCTCCTCCTCTCCCTCCTTCTCTCTTTTATCCAAAAGCAATTAAAATGTTTTAAAATATATGCTTAATTGCAGAATTTCCCCCCACCCCCCACCCCGAGTCACCCAGGGTAGTGACTTAATTATAAAGATGTGACATATTGTGAGAGATTTCATTTGGACAAAAAATAAGAAAGTTAGTTTTACCTTGTAGCTTTGCCACAGATAACCTTGCCCATGGTTGGTTGCCTCCTGCATGAACCCTAACCAGGGCCCAGGCCAGGGAGGAACCTGCAACTGAGGTACATGCCCTTGACCAGAATATATGTGCCCTTGACTAGAATCAAACCTGGGACCCTTAAATCCACAGGCCGATGCTCTATCCATTGGGCAAAACTGGCTAGGGCTTAATTTCTTAATTGTAGTCTCACTTTGAAATAGCCCTCTCCGTCTGCTGCCTGTCGCAGTGGAAGCCACCCTACTCTTGCCCTCTTCATTCACTGCAGCTACCTTTGGTCTCTCTGTTCGTTCTGCTATTCCCTTGCAGTGAGTGCTATTCCCTTGCAGTGAGTGCTATTCCCTTGCAGTGAGCACCTCCTCCCCAGAGGAGGCAGAGTGATCTTTTCAAATACATTAAGATATATCACAAAACTCCTCTCTGAAAGCTCTCCCCCACCCATTGCAAGTCAAGTAACCCTCAGACTTTAGCAGATCCTGAAGGACACCTGCTTGCCTCTGTGACTTCATCATGGCTTTTCTTTTCATCTTGCCACTACTCAACTGGCTGGCCTTTGTTGTTCTTGGAAATAATCAAATGCATTCTTGCTTTATATCCTTTAGTCTAACAATTCCCCTTATCTGGACTCATCAGTCTTTGTAAGTCTGGCTCCTTATCCTTTATTCCTTAGAGATCAAACCTATTTCCCTATTTGTAAGTTATCTCTGTCTAAATTAGCTTCATGGACTCTGTCTTGCTTTTATGTTATTTGTAGCACTTATCATCCATCCATCCATTCATTCATTTGTTCTGTTGTGTGGTACTTCCTTTCCCATCTCACTTCACTCCCCACTTCACACATAAGCTCTGAGTGCATGCCTGTACATTTCTAAGTGTGCAGTCCCTAAGGAAGTACCTGGCACAAAAGAGGGGATTAACCAAGATCTGTTTAGTAAATGAATATACTTATGAATGAATAAATGAACAAGCAACCAAATGAGTGAACATATATTCTATACATATGTCTGTTGACTATTAACAAGAGGAATGCTTGTTAGTTTATTATTTAATTGAGGTATAGCTATCTGAAAAAAAAAAAGTCAATCTCTTTCTCTGGAAATACACCTTAAAATATAATGTTCTTTTGAGCATGGTCTAGGACTATGGTTTAGATGGTATAACATCCTAATGATGTTTTCCTGATGATGCTTAAAATAATATTTGGATGCATTTCTCTGGAGTGGTTCTAATGTAAACATGGTTTTATTTATAAATGTCACAATCAAATCAGAACTTTGGGAGAGGTGAGGTGGGTTGAAAAATAGCCTGGGTGTTAGAAGTTTCTGTAGAGTCATGATTCATTAATTTGTAGGTGAGGGCCTACATATAAAATACACATAGTATTATGCCTATTAAGTTTGAAAATAATTATAATTTATTTTACTATTTGTTTTCCCTACTTTGTATTTCTTGTTGTTGCATTTAGTGTTCGAATTTGACAGTAATTTAAATTACCTCTTTTATATTTCAATTTAAGGATTCAATTTCTATAGACATAATATCAAGGCCTAAAGCATAGTGTGTGAATGTCGTTTTGCAGTGGAAGATGAAATGTGGTATTAAAATGTTAGGTGGAGGGCAGCAAACAGCCAGCCTTGGTGTAGAATCCCTCCTGTAATTAATACTCCAGTATTAACTTCTCCTTGAATCTGTTTCCTCATCCAAAGGGTGGGCATAATATTTGTGTTCAGGACTGTGCTGAGAATTCAGCTGATGTATTTAAGTTTGTGGCATGGTGCATGTAACATTATTAGGTTGGGACAATTGTTAAGTTCAGTCCTTTTTCTCTTTTTTCCGTCAGCAGCAAGAGGAGGTATTTAACTTTCCAAATACAAAAGATTATTATTCTGTGTAGATAATATGATTGCATAAAGTGTATAATATTTGACATTTTTCTATAATCAATGCTTGACTCTGTAATTTGCAAAGAGCATCAACCACAACAATATCAATGGTAATAGCAAATGTTTATTGTTTGCCATGTGTCAGACACTGTCTTAAACACCTTACATATATTAGTAACTTTTTAAAAATATATTTTTATTGATTTCAGAGAGGAAGGAAGAGGGATAGAGAGATAGAAACATCAATGATGAGAGAGAATCACTGATCAGCTGCCTCCTACACACCCCACACTGGGGATCAAGCCTGCAACCCAGGCGTGTGCCCTGACCAGGAATTGAACCATGACCTCCTGGTTCATAGGTAGATGCTCATCCACTGAGCCACGCCGTCTAACTAATTTATTAATATCACAAAGCCCATGAGATACTAATTCCCATTTTACAGATGAGTAAACTGAGACACAGACTATTAAATTATAGGGCGCATAAGCACATCTGGGCTTGAAAGATTCTATACTTAGGCATTAAAAAAATGATACTTAAAAACTGCTTTCATTCTTCAGGTAGACTCAGTAATCACCCAAATATATCTTGACACAAACTTTCCCATCCCCATCTAGATGTGAGGGACTCTAGTTTTAGGACTTGATACCCCCATCTTTCTTTGTGCGAAGGAAGGAAGATAAGAGAAGCATCCCAGTTTGAGGGCTAGTTCTGCTTGAGAGTCATGCTATATGGGCAGCTGTTGATAAAAGAATTATGACTTTTATTATTTTTAATGTTGAGAAATCATGATTATTTGGGGTGAAAAACAAAGGGCACACAAAATATAGATTCTTTTAATATGATTATATGTGGAAATACTGGGATACTGCTTTTCACACAAATGTGTTTGTTAGCAGGAAGGGTATAAAAGAACTTTATTATACTTAACTGCTTTACGAAGCATGTTTTACTGATATGTCCCAGTGCCCATTAAGCCTCTTTATAGCTTTGATCTTGTTTAGTTTTCCTGCTTTTCATTCCCAGTTCTCCTATGTCATTTATCAGTTTTTAAATATTTGAATGAGATCTTTGTTTATTTAAAGGTGATTTCTTACAGTTTCTGGCCCAGTTAGCATACAGTAATTTCAGGCCATGAAGACCCCTACTGAAATTCGAAAGACCATGAAGTCTTTGTAGGTGATCTTAAGATAACATTGTTGTTGGCCTTATGATGAACTGTATATGTGTATCAGCTTTGAGACATAATAATTACTTTAGATTTTTTTAGGCTTTGGTTGCATTTAATCTTCTGGTTTGATGAAATGTTAGAGTATAAAGGAAATAAATTTTCCATCTTAAAAATGTTTTATGAAGCTTTTCTCTCCCCGTGGTACTTCCTGATGGCCTGATACTATGTCACGTATAATTGGATTGATACTCAGCCTGAATACTTCTTTCTCTTCTTGGCAGCATGGGGTAACCTTGGAAATGTTCTGAAGAGTCAGAGCAAAATTTCCGAAGCTGAAAGCGCCTATAGGAATGCTTTGTACTACCGTAGCAACATGGCTGACATGCTTTATAATTTGTGAGTATGCATTGCTTTGTCTGGTTTGGTTCATCTTTGAAACCTGTGGCGAGAGGGACTATTGATTTAACTGCTGGAGATGGAGATGATAACTGTTTTCTGAAATAGTTTTTTCATTAATCATACCTCAGAGACTAGTAGGTGGATGGTATTTGTGACTTCCTTGTTATGGGCCACCTCATTGATATTCATGTGTATTGATGTGACACAACTGAAGTACTGTGCCATGTAACAAAAATTGGTTTAAATGCTTTTAAATTTTTTAAAAATTTGTTCCATTAATACTTAGATGGGTTCATAAAATAAACCTGCTATGGTTGATAATTTATATAATTGATATCTTGACTATTAGTAATAATAGATTTTATCCTCTATTAAAAAATTGCTTCCAAGTATATGTAGAACATGTATTAGTGAATAAGATAACGGCTCTTCTTTAATTTGTCCCCTCTCCAGTGGTACTAATAATTAGGTTGGGATAATTGGATAATTTAGAATCTTTGTGTACATTGGATTAGAAAAATCGCTAGGGGAAAAATTGGTTTTGTTCTTTAAATAGAAAGTCTCTAGGGGTACAGTGAGATGTGAATGGGTAAATGCAAATTAACCAAAATCCCTTTTTTGGCCTCTTATATTTATGACACTTTTGTTTATAAGTAATAGAAACGTAGTCTAAACTTGCTTAAACACAGAAGAGGTTTTATTAACTCCCATAACTGAAAATTCCTGCCGTTAACTAGATGTGGCACAATTAGATCCAGCTGCTTTATTATGCTGTAAGAATTTGTCTGCATTTTGTGGCTCTGGTTCCTCTAGGTTCGCTTCATTCTTTGTGGAACTCTGTCTATATCAATGGGAAAGATGATTCTTGTACTGTTATGTGTATAACATCCTGACTCCTCAGTCTCAGAAGAGATTGTCTTGGTGTCTCTATTAATCCTGTAAAAAGGTCTTGCTATATCTTCCTGGGGTTATGTGTCCTCTCTTGGATGAAACACTGGGCAGTGTGGCAGGGGCTATAAGATACCACTGTTGACAGTGCCACCGAAGTTGGAGTGGAGTGGAGTGGAGGGGAGTGGAGGGGAGGAAAGTGGAGTGAAGGGGAGTGGATTGGAGTACCAATTCCCTGCTGGAAGAGACCAGGCAGAATAAGATGTCACTGCTGTGACTAATGAATACTATGTAATATTGACAATATCAAAGTTATCTGTCAGCTCTAATTTTTAGCATGTATTTATGACCTGGTTGCATCTCAGTCTTTCGTACTGTCTAAATCTAAAAACACAGATAAAAAGGTACAATAAAAGTTAACAGGAAAAAAGATTTAGATTTTTAACGTCCAACAGACAGGGTGAGCTCAGTTTAATCTCCTGTTTATATATTTACCTTGTTATTGCTTTGTTTTTTATCTTGATTGTTGAAAGTATTACATATGTCCCCCTTTTCCGCCTGCTAGCCGGTCCCTGCCCCCCACCCCAGGCCTTCACACTGGGGTCTCAGTCTCACGGCCTGTGGTCTAAATTAGGTCAGCGTGTGTTTTGTGTTGACCTGCACAGATTTAATTTTTTCTTTTTTCACCTGGAAGGCTTTCAGATGGGGCACATCCTTTCCAGCTTGCACAACCCCTGTTGCTCTCTGCTGTGTTTCATGCTCACCAGATATATCACCATCCTTTTCCCTGAAATAATTTAGTCTACATCTTTTTCTTTTTACTTGAATAAATATATCTTGATATTCCTACAAAGTCTTTTCCCACATCTCCATCTAAATATTGTGATGTAACTATATTATTGATTAATAGAATCTTTATTTCATGAAAAAAACCTTATCAACTTGATAAATTTACACAAATGTTCCTTTTTTATTTTTTATTTTTATTTTTGTATATGAAAGTAATGTTGTCAAAGGGGCCTCTTGTCTTGCAATATGGGATGAGAGTTTTCTTTTGGTGTTTATTCTTCATACATTTTGGGGGAGAAAATAAGCTGAACAACTAGTACTCTGTTTTGATCTTATTTTTCTCTCTTTTATCCATAGTTCTCTATCTCTTGTGGATACCTCTTGGGCAAAGGTTGAAAGAAAAAAGAAAATGTATCTATCTAGGCTTATTCTTTTTTGAGAAGAGAAATTTATTCTATTAGATAAATTCAATTTACATGTAATCTAAAAGTTGCACCTTTAAAACTCCACTATCTAGATACATATATAAACTATGAAAATATATGTATATACCTTCTCAAACCCTAATGAAAAATCCTTGTTGGAGAAATGATTGCTAACAAGTAACACAATCAGTTTGTTCCCCCCCCCTCCCCACACACACTAAATGTAGTAAAATCAGCTATGTCAAAAATGCCATAGATAGCTCCATAATATTTTTACTAATAATGACAGGGTTTTATTTTTTTTAAACTACATTTAACTGTTAACTCAAAGGAAAGGCTTAAATTCCACAAGAAGTGTTGGCAATGATTTCAACGCATTAGATTATGTAACCCATGTCATTGACAGAAATCTGATATTCAATAATTATATTTCAAAATAGGGAATTTTTCAATGGTTTTTAAAATCAAATATCAATAAAATGCACCAAGATAGGTCTTTTACAACCCATAATATTATAAATATATGATATCATATTTCTCTAGGAACAAACTTTTTCTTTTCTACCTATTTATATAGGTAGGAAGTTTTCTCAAAGATAGTTTAGAGAATATTTGGGGAAAATTTTTCTTTTCATATGTATATGCTATTTTTAATACATAATTCTCTCTGATGTATAGAAATTGCTCCTTGTGCTATTTCAAATCCTGAAAGAAAATGAATTTGCTTTGCTCAATCTTACCAGTAAGTAAACTTAACCTAATAATGCTCCTTTGTGATAATAGCAGGTTTTAATTACTTTTCATATCATCAGTTATAGTTATGTATCTTTTTTTTATAATATATTTTTTATTGATTTTTTACAGAGAGGAAGGGAGAGAGATAGAGAGTTAGAAACATCGATGAGAGAGAAACATCGATCAGCTGCCTCCTGCACATCTCTTACTGGGGATATGCCCGCAACCCAGGTACATGCCCTTGACCGGAATCGAACCTGGGACCTTTCAGTCCGCAGGCCGATGCTCTATCCACTGAGCCAAACCGGTTTCAGCTATAGTTATGTATCTTAAAGATGCTTTATGATCAAAGCCTGAAATGAATGAGTATGTATTAGTTGCATGAAATACTCATATTCACTGATGAATTTTAAAAGCTTTTGGAAATTATACACTTCTGTTAAAACCTGTACTTTTAGTCAGTAACCTAGATATTTTTAAACGAATTCAATGTTCATAAAGCTACTGCTTTGTAAATTATTAAAATTTTTCATATTAGAAATTTTTACTAGGGAGATATATATGATTATGTAACTTCACAAAATAGATCCAGGGATATGGAACAGACTGACCAATCTCAAGGGAAGAGGAGAGGTGGGAAGAGTTTAACAAAAGAATTTATATGCATATATGGATAACCCATGGACACAGACAATAGTGCAGTGAAAGCCTGGGGAAGGGAGCAGGAGCAGGGTGAAGGTGGTCAGTGGGGGGAAAAGGGGACTTCTATAATAATTTCAACAATAAAGACAAATTAGAAAAAAACCACAAGCAATCATTACTAAAGGGAGGTACACCAACATTGACCAGCCACAGGATGATTCTAGGGGTCAGAGAGAATCCTAAATTAGTCCCTGTATATTGAATTTTATGTTTAAATTTTTTTAAAAAATATGACTAGCACATTTAAAAAGCACATCTAAATATTGTTCTATGTCAGGATAGATAAATATGATTTGAAAAATTATTAAGTAAATACTTGTATAAATGATATTTGGTTATATCTGAAGTTGGGCAGCATTGCCTGATAATATCTTCAAACTTTGAGGACAGTTTTTTTCCCCAGTATTAATATCAAGTTTTACATGAGAAGTGCATATAAATGGTTATATATCTTTTTAATAAATGTATGGGATAATATTGATTCTTTTTTCTTGATAGCAATTACTTGAATTACTTACATATACCAAGCACTCTTCTTAATTCTTTACAAATGTTATCATAGTTTGTCTTTAAATGAAGCCTACAATATGAGGAAAATGAAACTCAGAGGCAATTTCTCTAAGGTCACACAAATAGTAGAGGAGCTGGAATTTGAACTTAAGAGATTAAGAAAAAAGTTAACTCTATATCCCATAAAATCACATTTCTACAGAATAAACAAAAGGTGTGAGAAAAAAGCCTCAATGTATATCTTTCAAATTCAGAAAAAACATTAATTCAAATAACCTTTACACGTAGAATATTTGAAATTAAATCTAATAGAGAATATAAATTAACTTTTTATGTCAGTTACTCTGTTTACTGAACTCATGCTGTAGAATTTTGTTAGAAAGATTATCAGTGGATTTGTAGCACTGAGGTAAGAGTTGCTTTGAAGAAGAAATTGCATCAAAAAGCCTTATTAAATGTCTAAATTATTCCTGGCCAGTGTAGCTGAGTTTGTTAGTCATCGTCCCATACACCATAAGGTTGCAGGTTCCATTCGTGGTCCGGGCAAATGACCAGGTTGCAGGCTCAATCCCTGATAGGGGGCATGCAGGAGGCAGCCTATCAATGCTCTGCTCTCACATCGATGTTTCTCTCTCCCTCTCCCTTCCTCATTCCCTAAAATTCAATTTTTAAAAATAGTTCTTAAAAACATAAATAAATTCATTAATTATAAACTATTGATACCATGTCAATCCATGCTTACAGATAATAGTCACATAATGTGAAATTTAAAGTAGTACTTACTTCTACTCTTAGTAGCAATAGATATAGTACACTCTTTGCACATCCTTATATTCAGCCTTCTATTTATATTGCCCAATTTATTGAAATGCATTACTTCACATGACTAAGTTTTTTAAATACCTGGTATAATAGATCTTCATTATGATGCTGGTTTTTATTTTCAAG